TTGAATAATAGTTGATTAATACAGTAGATCTCTTTTAGCTCTACTGCCTCTATTATACTGCCCTCACAAGGAGCTCTAGGAACACTCGGCTGATTGAATAATAGTTGATTAATACAGTAGATCTCTTTTAGCTCTACTGCTTCTATTATACTGCCCTCACAAGGAGCTCTAGGAACACTTGGCTGATTGAATAATAGTTGATTAATACAGTAGATCTCTTTTAGCTCTACTGCTTGTATTATACTGCCCTAATCGGAGCTTTCGAGATTACAAGAACTAGTTCTTACAGATGTGGTTATTTTCTAAAATTGGCTCCTAGTGTATCATATGGGTGGAGAGCAAAAGATGCAAGAACCTGTTTAAATTCTCAATCTCTGCTACAGTATAGGAAATATTGTACATGAAATTGATTTCTAATTACAATATACACCATGTTAAAGTATCAAGTCAAGTATCAAGTAAACTGAAGCATAAACATACATTTAAAAAAAATTAACATACAATATAATAATAATAATAATAATAATAATAATAATAATAATAATAATAATAATAATAATAATAACGCAATAAAACTTATAAAGCTATTAAAGTTAAAATATAACTTGCACCGGTACTAAGAGATAAAGTAAAAAACAGCTGCAGAAGAAAACCATAATCCATCATAATAATGACCACTTATAATAAACATATTGAAATGCGTATGTCATTTACATACACTGTAAATGTCATTATAACTTTAAAAGCAACCATAATTTAAATAGATCAATTTAGCACTTTGACCTTCAACCCAAGTAAGCAGGATGACCACTGAATATAGAGTTCAGCAGAATGCCTTCTTTTACTATTTTATTAACCAATGTCAAGCTAATTATTATGTTGTATGCAAGGCAAATTTCCAGTCTATGTACTGTATTAAGCAATTAGTAGAGCTCCACATAGGACAATTATCATACGATGGTTAGATTTAATACTTGAAAAAAATTCCTGAGAGCCTGCAAGGCCCCGAAGGAAATTTTTAAATCTAACCAAAGTATAATAATTTTCCGCTAGTGTACGATGTATGCTCTACTAATTGCTTTTGAAGTCAATCGCCGTCTTTTAATGTTAGTTTTGATAACCACCTGTTGTAGCATTCATCGGTTGCTATAGTGATATGATCAGTATACTGTGTGCGTATTGACATTTAGCTTTGCGTATGCCGATATGTGCTCCTGCAATACGTGTTAACTACAGTACACATCAGCAGTAGAGTACGGATACGATGAATAACTATTAATTTGTATTGTGTTAGAAGAACTTGTTCGTAATGCTATTTCGATACATTTATCAAAAAAATAAACATTTCTTAAAGCATTCAAGAGAGATTACAGTCACTGACTTTTTGGTCGGCGCAGACAGGTAAAAATCGTGCAATGATTTCACAACTACGCCAGGCTACAGCCTAGGGAAGGAGGAGAAGGCCTCGGCGGCCTCCCTAGCCTAGGCCTACATCTAATTTCATTCCTCGAGTCTTTAAAATAGATCTAGAATATTCCTATTAAACGTTCAGTCTGTTTAGTTTATTAGGGATCACTGATTCAAGGAATTTTTTAATTGTTCATACAGTACTTAATATTGAATTTGAAGTAACTTTATTCAGGTTCTAATTAATCTTGTTTTACGAAAGTAATTTTCCAATTACAATTCAATTTTCATTGCATTGCACGATCTCTTTGCGGGGACGAAAATTATGAAGACAATATGAAGACGAATGACTCTCAATCATGCTTTGATGTGTTTTTTTGTGTCAAGCTCTGTGGTTATATTTTTGTGGGTTTTTGCCAATATTGAAGTTTACATCCTGTTGGTTGCAAATATATGGAAAAATCCTAAAAAAAAAAAAAAAAATTGCTCAAGTAATGAAAGAATCAATTAAATGATAAATTTTTGGGAGTACCAGATTCTGGTTAAGATACTATTTAAAGAAATCAATGATTTTACTGTAGTGCTTAAGTATTACAGGCCTACACATACAACAGTAACTGAATCATGACACCATCATTTTACATTCCACAAAACACTGAATTGTACTATTATATGTTTTGTAGCTCATTACTTATAGTGCTTAAGTATTTCAGGCCTACACATACAACAGTAACTGAATCATAATATCATCATTTTACATTCCATGAAACAAAAACTGAATTGTACTATTATATGTTTGTAGCTCATTGGAACTGTATTTAAACAAATGCCTAATACTAAGTATTTCTCACCCAGCTCATTATAAATGCATAATACTGTATTATCTACTCGGGCTATAACAAAATTATATAATAAATCACAGTATAACGTCCATCAAGGGAGGTAAAACATAAGAAGCTGTTATGTCCGTATCATCTTGAATCACACATCTATTGGTTTTCAAAAGTTCAGGAGACAAAAGACATCCCAAGATTTGAGAAGAAAGGTTGGCAAGGTGAACGAGCTGTGGTTGAAATGAGAAGTGTTGGTTGAAGTTCAAGCTGTGAGTACATGGGTTCAGTTACTAGAGGAGGTCAATTCTTCAGCCTAAAGTTCAGTAATTCAAGGTGTATAAACTACAACATCCTACCTCAAATACTTCAGAATACAGTAATACTGCTGTCTCTTATACACATCTAGATGTGTATAAGAGACAGGTTCTTGTATGTATACTTACAATAATGCAGGAAACACCGTGTGGTACTGCGTAGGAACCACATGTTGAGCACAGCCAAGTTCTGCCTGAGCTATCAGAGCAAACAGATCCAATTTCTCTTGATCATGAACAACGTAATGTCCTAGTAACAAACGATTCTTCAACGTCAGGTAGTAAACATGTCTAGTAAAAAGAGAAGAAAAATATTATCATCATTAATTCTTTTATTTCACTTAAACTGAATATTAGTAAATGGCTTGCAAATTACAGAATTATCATTTATAAAGTTTTTTTGTGTCAAGCTCTGTGGTTATATTTTTGTGGGTTTTTGCCAATATTGAAGTTTACATCCTGTTGGTTGCAAATATATGGAAAAATCCTTTAAAAAAAAAAAAAAAAATTGCTCAAGTAATGAAAGAATCAATTAAATGATAAATTTTTGGGAGTACCAGATTCTGGTTAAGATACTATTTAAAAAAATCAATAATTTTACTGTAGTGCTTAAGTATTACAGGCCTACACATACAACAGTAACTGAATCATGACATCATCATTTTACATTTCACAAAACACTGAATTGTACTAATATATGTTTTGTAGCTCATTACTTATAGTGCTTAAGTATTTCAGGCCTACACATACAACAGTAACTGAATCATGACATCATCATTTTACATTCCATGAAACAAACACTGAATTGTACTATTATATGTTTGTAGCTCATTGGAACTGTATTTAAACAAATGCCTAATACTAAGTATTTCTCACCCAGCTCATTATAAATGCATAATACTGTATTATCTACTCGGGCTATAACAAAATTATATAATAAATCACAGTATAACGTTCATCAAGGGAGGTAAAACATAAGAAGCTGTTATGTCCGTATCATCTTGAATCACACATCTATTGGTTTTCAAAAGTTCAGGAGACAAAAGACATCCCAAGGTTTGAGAAGAAAGGTTGGCAAGGTGAACGAGCTGTGGTTGAAATGAGAAGTGTTGGTTGAAGTTCAAGCTGTGAGTACATGGGTTCAGTTACTAGAGGAGGTCAATTCTTCAGCCTAAAGTTCAGTAATTCAAGGTGTATAAACTACAACATCCTACCTCAAATACTTCAGAATACAGTAATACTGTGAGCATATCAATTTCTACAATTCAACTCAGGTATACAGTAGACGTCTATAAACTGTTATAAACTTTAAGCAGGCTCTAGACAATGCTGTAGCCAGGATTTTCAAACAGTGCGGAACAATATCAGGGTGGACCAACTTTACGCGTAAAATTCAAACAATGTGGACCCATTTTACGCAAAAATTTGAAAAATCTGAAAAATCTGGACCCATTTTCCTAAATTTTACCCATTTAAAGCTAAATATTAGAAAATCTGGACCCATTTTTCAAAAAGTGGTCCCATTTTATTCATAAAATTACATATTAAATTTGGACCCATTTTTAAAAATGTTGACAGATTAGAAAAATTGTGTGGGACTGTCCCAACAGCATGGCTACGGCATTGACTTCAGGGGAAAAAACAAATTAGTATGTTGTACAACTGATTTTCGTAAGACACTGAAGCAGTGTGTGATGGCAAACTTGTGAATGGTTAATAAGAATAAGATACACATTTTTGAAAGCATGGTACATGTGAAAATCATTTTTGCCCAACTGTAGAGCCAAGTATTCTTAGTATGAGAGAAACAATGATGTTCTTATGGTCATCAGAGTCAAGATGGCTTTTAAACAAAATCTGTGTTTGTAAGTTTTTTGTAACTAATTTAAAAAGAACAATAAAACAAAGATGTACCTTGACAGATAAAATGAAAAAAGAAAAAGTGACACATTTTCACATTTCTAAAAAATATACTCTATTTATATAATGACCTAAGAACCTTGAAATAACATTAACCTACTGTATATAGACCGTACACAATATAAAAAAGGCAAATAGACTAGTACGGATCCGCATACCAAACAATGACTTGTGTAAATAATTGTGTAAATAAAGCACTGACTTTCTCTTTGAGCAACAAGGAAACTACAACATAGTTGAGTACAATATGTTGATGATTGTTTTTTATGAAAGGCAAATCACCTCCACTTTCCTGTTTGAGTGTCCCAATAGGGAGCTAAACTTCTTGATATAAACAGCTGTTCTTGATGCCACTAAACTTTCTAAAGCCAAAAGGGTCTGTCTCTACTGGGGAATAATAAACACAGTTTCAAAAATGTTTACGTGAAATGTACCAGAAACATTTGAAATGATTCTTCAGGTGAGGACATTTAAAAATATCAAACCAATAGGAAAGAATCGTTCAATGGCTTGGTTCCAAGCTGTGCAACAAAGTATTTTCACTTTGACCTTAATAATCAAAACATACAGTAAGGTTTCTACTGGAAAGAAAAAAATCGATTAAAAATCGCTTTTTCAAAAAATCGCTTTTTTTCTTGCAGTAGAAATGGGACCACTTAGAAAAAAGCAATTAAAAAAATCGATTAAAAACATACAATGGATAGCATGTTTGAACGGCAAATAACCGATTTTAGCTGAGCACTTTTTAGCAGCAACACAAAAAGCGATTATCAGGTGAAATGTTCAACCACGATCGTATCACGCGTGAACTTTCAAAATGATTAGTCCTCTTGTGTATGTCCATGCCTACAAGCTAAATCGTAAACAAACATGTGGAGTGACGAAATTACTCGTTTTGTAATTATGTTGTGGGGGATATATTGGGCCTAGGCCTCTCCGCTCTTCTTCTGGGCCTACCGTTTTTCTCTTTTGTTGTGCTGACGAGCACAGCCTAAAGCATTTGCCTTCTCGCCGCACACTGTGTCCTCCTCCTCCTCGTCATCACGACCGAAATTCAATAAAACAAGATAATATACTTGAAGTAGGCCTATATTGTCATGTGGTGCAAAAAGAAACTATACAGTTTGGAAAACGTGTTGTATTTATAACAAAATGGTGACGTACTTTCCGCCGCGAAAACCGATATTCGTAAAAGCAAAAACGCAGTTGCAACGCGGCCAGGCTATCTGGCACTCATTAAAAAAGAGGTTAAAAAATTTGATTATTTTGTGTTTATCAGTAGAAACACGCCCCAAGAAGAACAGAAAGAGATTGGATGATGACTGTCGATGAGGACAGATTCGCATAAAGGCTAACAGGTCAATGATTAATTATGGGGACATTTGCATTGAGAGAGAGCATTTATCCAATGCATCAGTTAACACTGACAAGGCCAAATATTGTATTTAAAAAAAAATTTGTTGCTCTCCTACTAGGCTGCAGGGGTCCCAAGCTTAAAGAAGTCATTTCCGGGAGATCTGAGCTTCCTTCACTTCTACTAATATTATTTCGCTACTCTTGAGCAGTGCCAAATCTAGGAATTTGAATAAGAGGGTCCCAGGGAGGGACTTTCTCAGACCTAAATTTGATTATAATTTTTTTTTTCTCAATTTTTAAAAACAATTTTGAAAAGTTATTTTGACAATGTTGGTGATACCCATCGACATTGACTGTGGCACTTCATGATTTGGAAATTTGTTTAAAGCTGATTACAAAAAAACCCCCATTATTTTTAAGGGATTTTCCAATTATTATTTTTGGTCTTCAATTTTACTGACAATGACATACAATAGGACTATATACCTCAATATCAATTGGCAATCAAACAGTAACAGGAAGATATACCATACCAACCTATTACAAGCCTACTCATTCGTGGAAAGGGGAAATACTGTAAGTACCGGCCTGGCTTCCATAAAATTGCTACATGCTATGTCTGACAACTTTAGAGGATACAGATTGGTCAATGGATTCAGCGAGCCTTCTCGATTGTGAAGTGTGGTAGCTACGCGGCATAACGACTGCACTGTAGTGACATCGTAGTCAATTTTATGGTAATTGGTAGGCAACCAGGTTTAAAGTACTTTGTCAAAGAAGACAAACAAGTTGAAGTCCTCAGACACAAACTATCAACATTATATAATTTAGGCCTGAATCCTTATCACTCAGACACATGATTCCACATTAAACATAACCAATTTTATGAAAAAAAAAATTGATTGGACCAGTTGGTCAGTGATACTAGGAAACAACCAAGGGATAATTTACACAAATACAATTTATGTCTATTTAGTATATTATCATTATTTCAACTTCTGAAAAAACAAAGATGTTCATGACACTAACAGGATGGATACACATATACTGTACACAAGTTGTTTCGGACTCAACAATGGAGATCCCATTATGAAAATTAATGTAGAGTACAGCAGCTTACTGCAGTAAAGCCTATACTGCCAAGGACACAGTGCCTATGTAAGCAACTAATGGTGAAGATTATTAATGTTTACACAGTAGATTATACATCAATATGCTGTGCCAGTAAAGAACAGTACATCAATTTGTATTCAATGCCATGGTTCAGAGCTAAATTGAGTGTTCCATCATGGTATCACTGAAGTCGATACGGTGGTGTGCGTCAAGCAAAATACAACATGATATAATAGCCTACAAGTAATGACTTTTTTCACTATTAAAATCATTACGCATGAAAACCCATCACATTTAGTTATTTTCTTTTAGTTTACAGGGCACTTTGATAAAGATATAATGTTGTAAAATTAGTTTGAAATAAAAGATGGCTTTTTATTAGATGCAATGGTTCTATTAAACATTCTAACTTTGCACTGTATTCTCTCCCACTGATGTTCAGTATTCAGGGCAATATACTACCATCCTTAATAAAATTAATGTCTTGCTTTCAATACTTACAAGCAGACTTAAAGCAGATTTACATAATTCCAGTAGGCAATCCATTTTATGCATCCCCATCCCATTTTTACTTCTTTTCCTATCCCTACACAACATGTCAGTTAAAGTACAGAAAGTTCAGATGAAAAACAATGAACTGGTCACTTGATAAGATAATTTTATCACAAATCATGTGCATAGTAAACATGAAATAGTAAACAAACATGGACTCTACTGTGTTGAGTGTCAATACACAACAAAAGAGTACAGAGTTGTTTACTGGGATTCAGTTTACTATGAATGAAGCAAACTACACTTTTTTTTTTTTATAAGAACCAGTAAAATTTTGCCCAGACGTGTTATTTTTTGGCCAATTTTAGGCTCAAAATGTTCTTATTTTGTTCTTAGTTTACACAACTTTT